GAGGCGGTGCTGAGGGCCAGGGTTTGGGGGTGGGATGGCAGGGGTAGGGGAGCGGTTGGGCTGGGGGAGCTGAAAGGGCTTTTCCCACCCAAACAATTCCATGGTTCTATGAACCTTTGAAGGTAGCTGCAATGATCATAATTAGCATTTTTTTTTTTTTGTCTTCTAGCTCCCCTTTTCTAAAGCTGCCTTATTCTGCACTGAAACTCTTTCTTTCTGCCCCTTTTAGGTACCATTAGCAGCAAATCCTACATTTCCTATGAGTTTAAAGTTTCCAGTGTAAGTATGTATTCGTAAAAGACCTAATTTGCCTTTCTGATTTTAATCAATAACGCTTTCCGTGGCTACTCCTTCCCTCCCTCCCCATTTTCCTGCAGCCTTCACTAAACCATGACGCATTTGACAACGTCAAAGAGGTCCCATTTCAAAGTCTTGTCACTTGACTGCGATGGAAATCTGATATTTGCCTTTGCCTCCCCTAATTTTTAGTATCGGATGATTCCCGATTTCCTGCCACGTCATAGCACAACGGCAAAAAGAAATGTTTATAGGGTTTCTTCCCCCTATAGCTACCCGTTATCTGCAATCCTCCCTCCAATTCCAGACCCCTCCTGCCACACCCTCATCCATCCTCCCCCCCTCCCCCCAAATTCTCTTCACCACCTCTCTTCACATGTGGGATCCCCAGCTCCTACTGGAAAAGCCTGGCAGCTCGCACACTGCTCTTTGCACCACGCCATCTCTGCTGTGGGGAAACTTTGTCCCAAAAAACCAAATTTTTGGCTGTGAGCAGGAGTACGTTCCAGTTACACCAGTCACCTAGCATAGTCCTGCTCCACCTGTGCCAGGCAGCAGAGTTACACGCATCGGTCACAAGAAGAGGCAGAAACACCGGTCTGTTCCAGAAGTCGTCATTAGGACTGGGGGTGCTGGTTGAGAGCCAGCTAAACATGAGCCAGCAGGGTGCCCAGGTGGCCAAGAGGGCCAAGGGCATCCTGGCTTGTGTCAGGAGTGGTGTGGCCAGCAGGAGCAGGGCAGGGACCGTGCCCCTGTGCTGGGCACTGGGGGGGCCGCCCCTCGACTGCTGGGGTCAGGGTTGGGCCCCTCCCTCCCCAAAGGACATGGAGGGACTGGAGCGTGTCCAGAGAAGGGCAGCGGAGCTGGGGAGGGGTCTGGAGCCCCAGGCTGCTGGGGAGCGGCTGGGGGAGCTGGGGGGATTCAGCCTGGAGCAGAGGAGGCTGAGGGGAGCCCTCATCGCTCCCTACAACTGCCTGAGAGGAGGGGGGAGCCGGGGGGG